GTGTGTGTGTATATGTGTGTGTATGTGTGTGTGTATGTGTGTGTGTGTGTGTATGTGTATGTGTATATGTGTGTGTGTGTGTATATGTGTGTGTATATATGTGTGTGTGTGTGTGTGTATATGTATATGTGTGTGTGTATATATATATGCGTGTGTGTATATGTGTGCGTGTGTGTGTATGTATATATGTGTATGTATATGTGTGTGTGCGTGTGTGTATATATGTGTGTGTATATATGTGTGTGTATGTGTATGTCGGCTCCGTAAGAAGCATTTCAAGGTCCTGGAGTGGCCTAGCCAGTCTCCAGACCTGAACCCAATAGAAAATCTATGGAGGGAGCTGAAACTCCATGTTGCCCAGCGACAGCCCCAAAACCTGAAAGATCTGGAGAACACCTGTATGGAGGAGTGGGCCAAAATCCCTGCTGCAGTGTGTGCAAACCTGGTCAAGAACTACAGGAAGCGTCTGACCTCTGTAATTGTAAACAAAGGTTTCTGTACCAAATATTAAGTTCTATTTTTCTATTGTATCAAATACTTATTTCATGCAATAAAATGGAAATTAATTATTAAAAAATCATACAATGTGATTTTCTGGATTTTTTTTTTAATTCGGTCTCTCACAGTTGAGGTGTACCGACGATGAAAATTACAGATCTCTACATTCTTTGTAAGTGGGAAAACTTGAAAAATCAGCAGTGTATCAAATACTTATTTGCCCCACTGTATATATATGTGTGTGTGTGTGTGTGTATAAAGGCTTATGTTGTTCACACGTGACTCAAATAAGTCTTTTGTTTAAAACATCAGTTGCAGACGCTGTATAAGTTCATCGAGCAGAAGGGTGACCTGCAGGAGCTGCTTCCTCTCATAAACTCGCTCACCAAACAGAAGAGTTCAGCCGTCGCTCAGATGGCCAAACAGGGCCAGAAAGATCTAGAAGAAGTCATGAGTCTCCTCAAGAAACTGTCCATTAAACTACAGGTCAGGCGGACTTATTTTTGGCATCGTTTGACTTTATTAGTATAGGACAGTGTAGAAGTGATATTTATTAGTATAGGACAGTGTAGAAGTGATATATTTATTAGTATAGGACAGTGTAGAAGTGATATATGAAATGAGTGTGGTATTCAATATTCTTCCTTCCAGGACTGCACGATTAATCAAAATAAAACCAAAATCACAATGTGACTTAGGCTGTGATTTAATTAAATAAATATATGTGCTACGTGTTTCAGAGTGAAGCAGTTTTTCGTCCAGGGTTGTTTAACTTACACTAAAATAAATTTATACTTATAAGTTTTATAAGTATAGTTTATAAATAAAGTACTTTAAATAAAATAGGCGTTAAGTGAAATTAAATTTTTTATATATATATATATATATATATATATAATTTTATTTTTTTTAATTTTTTTTATTTAGCTATTTCATGTTTATTTTGTTAAAGTGTATTATTTATTATTATTAGTATTATTAGTATAGTTAACTAAAAACTTTTGTTACTTGAAATAAAATAAATGTTAACTGAAATACAATAAAAGATAAAAAAATTATTTTACTGCAGCTAGTTGCCAAGGCAAATGTCTCAATTTAATTTAGTTTAACTTCATGTAATATGTGCAATCACTAAAATTACTAAAACTTGAAATGGAAATTATATTTTAAACATTTAAAATATTAATAAAAATTAAAATAGTATCTCGGTTGTAATGATAGTTTAACGTTTTAAAATGTAGAATTTACGACAGCTATATATATATATTAGTATTGTAATTTTACAGTTGTAATGTCAAAATGAAATTATTATAGTATATTATTTTTCTTAAACACTTGATTTTTAAATAAATTTTACAATGAAATATTACAATAGTAATATATTGTATTTGTTTCGTTTTTTATATTTTATTTTGTATTATTATTGTTATTGTTATATAAATATTTGGAATCGAAACTAGGAATTCAAACGATACCCAACCCTAATGCGGAATCATTTCTCGATTCGCGATGCATGCATTTATTTTGACAGCCTTATAAACAACTGATGCTTTGGGTTTTCCGTAACAGATCATGGAGTTTCACGGGCCGGCGGTGTCCGGTCCGGTCCCGACGGCGGTCGGCGCCAGCATCGCTCTGGATAAGATCTGCTCGGCTGTGGCCAGTCTGGAGGAAGCGGTGAGTGTCACAGCAGTGCGATGCAGGCTTCAGATGCGCTGCGTCTCGTCTCATCTCTCCGTCTCCGTCTCTGTCTGTCAGCCTCCTGTGAGCTCCTGTGACGTTCTGGTGCTTCCTGTGGGCCAGTCCTCCACCAGCAGAGCCATTAAAGTCACTCAGAAACTCTGGGCGGCCGGAGTCTCTTCAGACATCGTCTATGACATCTCGCAGGTCAGTGTTCACACGCTGTTAGGAGATGTTGTTCCGTCCCGGTCTAAAAACATATTTGCTTTGTTTGGTTAGTTTGTGTTAATTTTGTCACATCCATAAACGAATCAGATTTAGCAGATGCAGCCATTCTCATTAGCCAAATCCCTTTCTCGTAGCCGGTCCGAGGTGGGGTCTGGTGTGTGTAACACTGACCTGCGTTCGAGCAGAGGGGTGCGTGGGTAGTCCGTTGGTTCGTCCTCCCGATCCGCCCACTGCTGCTCACTGGCGAGAGAGGAGGGTGAGTGTGATACGCACTAGATCATCCACAACCCCCCGTCCCCTCTGGGGACCCAGAAATAGAGGAATTGCTCTTTGTCGAGAATTTGGGTACCACCGACCGAGAGGTCATTGGTGGAAAAAGATTCTCCGCCCGGCCCTCCTCTGGGGGAGGGAGTGGTGTGCTTACCATCTCCTGAAGAGCACGTCCCTCCACCTCTGGGTCGCCCGTCTCCGGGCTTCTTGCTTGAAGCGAAAAGCTGAATATGCGCTGCACCTTCTGCCTACTTATACTCACACTGTGATCAGCAGCAGCTGGATGCAATAATCGCATGCCAATGTGCATTGGCTCGTTTAGTTTACACTCGAAGTAGATTGGTCCCTCTAAGCGAGATCCCAATTCGTCTGGTCCTCCGACGTGACGTCGAGAGTGACCGACTGAAAGGGAACTAGTTCCATATAATAAAGCATTCATCAATCAAATAAATTGAAATGCCATGAAATAAATACAAAGACAGTAAGCAGACAATACATATTTCCGTCAGTTGTGACGTTCTCACTAATTCTTGCGAAACAAGCATGGAAACCAATGTCATCCAAGACTAAAGAAAATCAGTGTCATTGACTGACTGAAGCGATTCCGTCAGAGCGATTCCTCCCTTACTGAACCACAAGTCATTATTTTTTATTATTATGTTCAACTCCAAACCACAGTCGTTAAATTCCAGGGTGGATCTCGGGCAGAATAAGTTTCAACCGATCGTCAATTTCTGACAACACGAGACTAATAAGCCCTGATGCGCTCCAATGAATGCAGTCAGATGTGTGTGTTTTTCTGTTGTAATGAAGATAACTATTCTCCATTTGTGCTACAGTCACAGGAAGCTCTTCTGGAGCACTGCAGACAAGCTGGAATCACATTCATGGTGCTGGTGTCTGATAAAGAAGGACATTACCTGAAGGTAAATCACATCAACACCTGCGCTGGAGACACTAAAGAGTGCGCTGATCTGACACGCTCTCTTCCCGTCAGGTGAAGTCTTTTGAGAAAGACCGTCAGTCGGAGAAGAGAATCCCCGAGTCGGAACTAGTCGATCACTTCATCCAAAAGAGCCGGACCAAACTCTCCGAAGAGAGAAACAGGTGACAGACGCTGACGTTTACAACCGTAAACCATGTGTCAGAGTCCAGGGGAAACATCTAATGCTGTGTTTTCTGCCCATCAGAGAGATTTCCGAGAGTGCTTCTCTCCAGAATCCAAAGGGATCATTACTGGGAAACTCAGGTACAGGTTTTTCAGGCAGGATCGCGATCCGCATTCTTGTCTCATAATTCGGTTTCATTTGGTTTTTAGGCCTATTTCGTAAGTTATTGAGCAGTAACCCAAACTAATTTTCCTGTTTAAAAAAATTTCGCTCTGCAACATGACAAAACGTGAAGAATCAAGACAAAGTAAGGGTGACCAAAATCTTAAAGCCAAAAATGTAAATTACCCTCAGGCCGTCCGAGATTAGGATGAGTTTGTTTCTTCATCAGATTTGGAGAAATGTAACATTGCATCACTTGCTCACTGCAGTGAATAGGTGCCATCAGAATGAGAGTCCAAACAGCTGATAAAAACATCACAATAATCCACAGCACTCCAGTCCATCAGTTAACATCTGGAGAAGACAAAAGCTGAAACTAATCCAGCATTAAGACTTTTTTGGGCTGTTTAGAACTGTTTAAACGCTGCTTGATCTGTGCAGATTTCTCTCCTGATTCAGACCACACCACTTTTTCACTGAAGGAAGCGTTATTATGGATTACGGACTCGTATTTTAGACATTAAAAACATCTTAATGCTGGATTAGTTTCAGCTTTTGTCTTCTCCAGATGTTCACTGATGGACTGGAGTGCTGTGGATTACTTGTGATGTTTTTATCAGCTGTTTGAAGTCTCATAGAAACACAATTTTAATCGTTCACGATCTAAAATCATGGCTTACTGCTTTATTAATTCATTTAAAACATTATTGAGGCACACAGTGATTCAGTGTTGTGTAGTACTTCACGCTTTATTTGTCTCTGGTGGATACTGCATTTAAAACCTTGAAAGAAAATAAATGAGGTTTGTCCAACAGATGTTTGAATGAAGCATCATGCTTCTATCTTCTCATGTGTTTGGTGTCCATCAGGTCTGTCTGAGTCACACGGGAGCAACACCATGAATGTGAACCTCATACCGCCTGAGAAAATCTCAGCCAGCTCCCGACGGAGATACGAGACGCAGGTCAGCACAATGGGAAACACACTTTCTTCCTCATCTTGTACCTTTAAGGCCTGTAGAGAATGTCCTTCCCCTCACAATCACACACGCTTAATCCCCAATAAATCCCAGTGTTGCTTTTGGCCAAATTTCCCCTTAAAGTTTTCACGCTCCATCACAATCAAACATGGAGAAAGTCTTGAATCTGTGACCCCATGAGAAGCATCCAGTGTTTGATTCAGCTCAATTGGTGTTTAATTCAGCATGCGTGAGTCCTCGGGACAGTCTGAAGTAATGATTCAGCCCCGTCTAGTGATGAGCCAGCGAATCTGAACCCCTGCTGTTCTGTGCTCAGCTTTATTACATACAATGAAAAGCTTTTGTTTTCTGTCCATTTGCATTATGAGCATGAGAGAAGTCCTGTCTTTCAGATCCAGACACGACTGCAGAATCTGAGCAGCAACTTACAGAACAAGAGCAACGACATTGAAGTGCTGGCTGTGAGTATATGATGTCACTTCCTGCTCTCATATCATCACTGATGCATTTGGCAGATGCATTTATCCAAAGTGACTTGCATCGTACTTGCCGATATTTGCCATTTTTAAATAATTGGCATCAGAACGTGCGAAGAATGCAGCAACTTGCATCCATTCAATGTATGCATTAGTAATCAACAAATATAACAACCGATATTTTGTATTTTTTTTAAATTATCGGTTTTAATAGTTTTTCTGCGTGGCCGATAAGTATCATAAACGGCTTTAATTTTGACAGTGATGGGAATTATTTTGATAGTGACAAGAATGCTGCAACAAGGTATACATTAGTGGTCAACCACTATATTGCCATGACCGATATTTGGCATTTTTTAAATATCGGCACCGATGATTTAATTAAATTAGTGTTGCCTGAACTTTATTTGAGAAAATGTGATTGCCAGTCTGCACAAACTTATCAGATTACTGAGTGCACTTGGTTATAGTGTTTAACTTTCTTTATTTGTGAAAAATGCAATAATAGGATTACAAAAACAAGAAGTTTCGAAAGCATAAATGTTTTTTTTTTCATATTTATTCGTTTTACAATTAATTTTCTACTTTAGAAAATATCTTAAATTTAATTGCAGCAATTATTATGCATCTTATTTAAATTGAATAGGGTAATATCGTTTATATCAGCTTTTTATCGGCTGTCTGCTCTTTAAAATATCGGTATCGGGCATCGGTCATAAAAAAATCCATGTCAGTAGACCACTAGTGTGCATTTGGTGAGCTCATGCATTCCTTTTTTTTTTGTATTTGAACTATTTCTGTATTTGTGAAAAATACTAGTATATTATTACAGAATGAAGATGGTAAAGCACAAATCTGTAAAAAAAAAAAAATTCTCAAGTTCAAATTATTTTCATATTGATTTATTGCACAATTAATTATTTCTAATTTAGTAAATATGAATCTAAATGTCATTGCAGCAATAGTTATGCATCTTATTTAAATTAAATAGTGTTATATCATATATATCGGCATCATATTGGCAAATGGCTCCTTAAGATATCGTCATCGGTCGTCAAAAAAAAACATATCGGTCGACCACTAGTGTACATTTGAACAGTTCATGCATTCCTTTTTATTTGTGTTTTTAACTATGCTTTTATTTGTGAAAATACTGTAATAAGGTTACAGAATGAAGATACTGAAGTGCAAATCTGTTTATTAATTTTTTTTTCATATTGATTCATTGTACAATTATTTCTAATTTAATAAATATGAATCTCAGTTTCATTGCAGCAATTTTATGCATCTTATTTAAATTAAATAGTGTAAAATCATATATATATCGGCTTTATATCGGCCTCGGCTCTCTATAAGATATTGGTATCAGCATCAGTTCATGCATGATTCCTGGGAATCGAACCCATGACCTTGGCGTTGCCAGTGATGTGCTGTACTAGATTAATTTACTCATTTAGCAATCTCATAGCATTTAGATTTTCCCAGTGAAATGATGAACTGTTTTGAGAAGCATAAACATCAAGATTCTCACCGCTTGCATATTTAGTTAATTTAGTGGTTTTGTGGGGAATGAAGTGGTTTGGTGTCTCTCTCTGTTGTTACACAGTTTACAAAACTCCTCTTAACCCAGAGTTATGGGTTCAAATATGAGTTTGTCCCCGAGCCAAAATCTCAAGTTAAGAACCACGAGAACTCAAGGAAGAACTTGAGGAAGTAGAACCACCTTAAACTTTCCAGACACTCTGATCGACATCTAAAGAGCGATAACAGAAAAAACATGATGCGCTGATGTGAAAACAAAGACACTAACGCCACACACACACAGCTCGTTTCCTCTCATGGTTCTTCGGTGGTGTATTTACTCCAACTTTTACCCTGTTAAGGCACATTTGGAGCCCTTCCTGTTGACTGGTACGCTGTTTTTGCATGGCACTGCATCCGTCTGCGGGTTTCTGTAGATAAGCCTCCATTGTGTCTGAGAACCTGACCTTCACAATCTCTCCTGTCGCATTCCTCCGCAGGTCGATCTGCCCAAGGAAACCCTCATCAACTTCCTGTCCCTCGAGGTTTGTACCGCTATTATTATGAGCTATTCTGAGTAAATGAATGGCATTCCAGTGGAAAACGTAAAGTGGAAGACAGAGGGATTCTGTGTGCTGACAGCAGGATGATGAGGGAAACCCTCTCCATCAACATGAGTCACTGCAACAAGAAGAACAGTCTGTTCATGTCGTTTAACCAGGAACAAACATGAGCTCTCACAGAACAAAGGCCTTCAGTTATTCACCAGGAAAACACTCACACACACACCGAGTTATTATGAAAGTGTTTTTATTATTCATTTTTTAAGATGTTTGTTTTAGCATTTTAAAAATGCAGGAAAAAAGGAGATAAAACGAAGTAAAGAAGTATCTTCTGCTCACTAAGGCTGCATTTATTTAATCAAAAATAGTGAAATATTATTACAATTTAAAACAGCTGTTTTCTCTGTGAATATGTGTTAAACTGTAATGTATTTCTGTGATGCGCAGCTGTATTTTCAGCATCATTCCTCCAGTCTTCAGTGTCACATGATCTTCAGAAATCAGTATAATATGCTGATCTGCTGCTCCAGAAACATTTCTGATTATTATCAATGATGAAAACCATTTTGCACTGCTCAAAAGTGCCAGTAAAGACATTTATAATGTTATGAAAGATTTCTATTTCAAATAAATGCTGTTCTTTTGAACTTTCTGTTCATCTGTGAATCCTGGAAAATAAAACGTATCACGGTTTCCACAGAAATATTGTGCAGCACGACTGTGTTCAACATTGATAATAATCAGAAATGTTTCTCGAGCAGCAGAGCAGCATATTATACTGATTTCTGAAGATCATGTGACACTGAAGTCTGGAGGAATGATGCTGAAAATACAGCTGCGCATCACAGAAATACATTACAGTTTAATATACATGCACATAGAAAACATATTTTAAATTGCAATAATATTTCACTGTTTTTACTGTATTTTTGATCAAATAAATGCAGCTCTGGTGAGCAGAAGAGACTTTCTAATCTAGAACATTCAACCTTCATAATTACAGTACTCCTTCCATGTCTCCCAATAATGTTAGAAATAGGTCAGTTTTAAGTCTCAACATATGCATATTGTATATTTCGTGATTTCTACCCCTGAATGCGTGTCTCAGATACGATTCCTCATCCGTTGTGTGCTAACTGGAGTGTTTAACGCTGAGGCTGCTGTTGTTTGTCTCTCAGTTTGATGGTGAGGAGCAGTTCAACATCAGCGTGAAGACGCTTCTCTCTCGGCTGCCCAAACAGCGCTACCTCAAATGCATCTGCGAGCAGATCTACCACTTCAAGATCTCCAAACGGTACTGAGCTGCTTTTCCAGCATCAATAACTGTAATGCTCTTCTTTCTTTTCTGGAACATGAAAGATAATTTGATGTTTTTTGTTGTCCGTACAATGAAAGTCAATGGGGTCCCGTGTTTGGTTCCCAGTGTTCTTCAAAACATCATCTTTTGTGTTACACAGAACAAAGAAAGTCATTCTTTCATTTTTGGGTGAACTATCTCTTTAGTATTTAGTTGTGTTTTTGTCATTTATAAGCATGCACATGAACGTAATCAGCATTTTTTTATGCTTGGGGGAAAGCGTTTGTATGCATTGTGATACTCTCCAAAATGACTCTATATTCTGAATGTTTGTTCATATTTCGTTCTCACCGATTTAAATATTTTACACCTATAAACATGGTGAAAATGTGTTCGTTTTCTGTCTGTTGACAATATTTTCTGAATTGAGTGATAAAAAGAGAAATCCAAAATCCCCGCTAAAATCTCTTTATGAAATGTTAATATGATGATGAAAGTTTAATTTAATTTACTTAATTTAGTAGTCGTATGTATTATATGGAGCCAGTTTTATGTTGTAATGCTTAATATTTGAAACAATCCAATGAAGTAAACATCTCATCTTTGGGAATTTAAGACGATAATAATTTTAATACGTTTTTTTAAGATTCTTTTCAAGAGTTTGAATTTTTCTTGAGTTTTGTCACATTCTTAAGAAGAAGAGAGATACTATTTAAGAATTCAAGATATTAATAAGAAAATAAGACCATTCTGGAAGCTTGTTTCCATCATGGAATTAAAAAAACAAAAAAACAACAACAAACAGTAATTGCAACTTTTGATCTCACTAGATTCAGATTTAAAACCTTTTTTTTTACAGTTGTTTACAATCTGAGTTTACATCTCGCAATTCAATTTTTTTTTATTTACAATCTGAGTTTACATCTCGCAATTCAATTTTTTTTTATTTACAATCTGAGTTTACATCTCGCAATTCAATTTTTTTTTTTTTACAATCTCTGTTTACAACTCGCAATTCACTTTTTTTTTACAATCCGCGTTTACATCTTGCAATTCACTTTTTTTTACAATTGCGAGTTTACAATCTGAGTTTACATCTGGCAATTCAGACTTTTTTGTTTACAATTGCGAGTTTACAATACAAGTTTACATCTCGCAATTCACTTTTTTTTTTACAATTGCGAGTTTACAGAGTTTACAACTCGCAATTCACTTTTTTTTTTTTTTTACAATCTGAGTTTACAATCTGAGTTTACAACTCGCAATTCAGACTTTGTTTTTTTTACAATTGCGAGTTTACAGAAAATCTGATTTATTTTTCAGTTGGATTATCTTTTATAACAATTGTGAGTTAATATACTCACAATCCTGACTTATTTTTTCGTAATTCTGGGTTTACTTGTCTGTATTCTTTCTTCCTACGGAATAAAAAAAAAATACAACAGATAATGGTGAATTTTTCTTTCCTCTTTTTTTTCCCCCTCACGTTTTTATCTCTCACAACTTGGACTTTGCTTCTCAGAATTGAGAGTTAATACAACATCTATATATTTTTGACATTTTTTTTCTCAAAATTGCAAGTTTGTGGTTTTTATTTCTGCGGAATCAATCTTCTATAGAAAATAGCATTTAAATATTTTATTCTGAAGGACTAACGTCAGTCTTTTTAAGCTCAGGAGTAACAGATCTGAAACTAATTTTTTGGCAAGGAAAATAAACGTACTGGTTCTTGTTTTAATTCCTGAAATCTCACGACGTCATGCTGAAAGTCTAGAACTGAAGAAATCAAATATCATGTTGTCTTGATTTGTTCAGCATGCTGTGGAATCTGAGTTTGAGCTGTTCTGTGTGTTTTCAGGGTGGCTGTGGTGGTCCTTTACAGCTACAGAGACGATTATTACAAGATCCTGCTCTGATCTCTGATTTCACTGCATTTTAAAGCTTTGCAGATTCTGTCGTTAAACCAAGCGGATTCCATGCCAAAGGCTGATGAGCGTCATCTGAAGGGTCCAGTCATCAATCATATTATTAACGATTCCTGTGAAATCACGTGATTGAATACTGTACAGTCCACAACTGAAGGAAATAAAATATTTTCCTGTATCACGTGTGGTCTTGCTTTTTTTTTTAAACATGCAAAATTGAATGTAGTTGTATTAAAATTCTTATTACTGTTATAGTATTTTGAATTCACTTTTAATATTTAAATTTTTTTTCTTTTGTTGTTTTTAATGTTAGTTTTTGTTACTAATTAGGTTTAATTGCCAGGGCAATATTTCTAAAAAATTCACCTAATCAGATATTTTTATTTCAGCTTTCATGTGCCTCAGATTTTGAGTGAACAAAACATTTGTGGATAATTGTCAATGTTCATAAGATCTGATTAATCATTTTAAATATTGTAAATATATTTATTAAAATTATATATAATTTTTATGTGATATACAAAATATGTGCTAATTTAAAGAAAAGTTAATGAAAAGATTGAAGCCAATATTTGCCAACAGTAAAGTATAACGAGAAATTTATAAGAAATATTTGTAGGCTTATTAAATTACAAAATGAAGAGTTTATTTGCAAAAAAAATAACTAATTCTGTTTTTATTTTCATAAATCATGTTTGTTATTATCATGTTTTTGTGTTAGTTAGCTGTATTTTTTATTATTTAATCATGATAATAATTGGAATGCAGGATAAAAAAAACATGATTTTTGAACATTTTTTTAAACACTGATTTATCTGTTTTTGCAAATGAACTCTTCAAATATTATCAGATTTTTTGGTTGCAAAGTCCTTAAGTTTCAGCCCAATGCGAAAATATTAACTAGCATTTTCAGGAAAAAGAAAATCCAGGTCAAAATGACTTGAACACAATAATTAGGCTTAACAAACATTCACACAATTCACTTTTATTCCAAAAACAAGTGTGTATGCTACAGCTGATCATCTATTGGATCATATTGACTCGTGACAAAGCTCAAATAAATAATAGCTGATATAAAGCAGACAGACGGTTTATAAAATCTGTACAGCAGCTTTGGGTTTCTCTGCAACTTCACACACCAGACAGAAATCAGCCACTCGCTAGAGTTTAGGATTAATAAATAAATGTGAAAAAATAAATAAGATACTTTGCTCTACTATTTTTATGGTTTTTGTACATTTGCTGTAATGCCCCTGCGAGCGACTCGGACTCAAACCAACTATAATCATCATGTAATTGATTCAGACTAATGATGCTAACGAAGCTGCATCAGTTCAAGTGAGAATCCATCTCAATACTAAATGAACTTGAAGTGTTTCCTCTAATAAGTCCCATATTTAATGCAAAATATCTTCCTCAGCCCATTGATTGAAACTAAACTGCAAAAATGACATCACAACCATTATTGACTGATAAAGATCAATAGCTCATTTACATATCTCTTAAAGATACAGTATCAAAAACAGCCGGTTTAACAGAGAGCGCAATCGAATGAATGAAAACAAAAACTTTATGGACATGAATATAACTCCCTACAAAACTAGGGCCAAAAACTGATTTCTTGAGAAGCAAATACATTTATATTGAATCACAGTTATATATAAATACTAATATTTATATATAAAACATTTATTTTAATATAGAAATATAAAATATGAATACACCTATCCATAAAAATATTTCACAATATTACTGTTTTTGCTGTATTTTGGATCAAATAAATGCGGGCTTGGTGAGCAGAAGAGACTTCTTTAAAAAACATTAAAAATCTTACTGTTCAAAAACTTTTGACTGGTAGTGTATATGTATTTATATTTTATATTTATTAATTCTATATATATATATATATATATATATATATGTGAGTGTGTGTGTGTGTGTGTGTGTGTGTGTATACAGCAATGTTCAGTCACAAGGCTTACAAGCGACTAACAACAAACTACAAGTAAAACACTTGAGCGTATAGAAACGAATAAACAGACTGGAGAGGCCAGGAAACACGTCTGTGCAGATCTCTTTTCTCTGGTCTCCGAAGGTCCGTCTGGTTCCTGAACGTTTGGTTTGTTTCTTTCTTTCTTTCGTTTCTGTGGTCCTGTTTAGTTTGGACGCTCCGAACATCATAAAAACAGGGAATAAAGCAGGAGGTGATCACAGTACTGGGATGTTCGGTGGAGTTTCTGGCCTCTGACGCTAGCGCTGGACGTGTCCGTGAGTGAGTTTAGTGCGCGGGACACAGACTCGCTCTCCGCTCTTCACGCTCTGGAACTGACTCTCTCTGGACGGCTCCATGTAGACGAGAGAACTCTTGTTCACGTGTTTCTGCAGGATCACCGTCTGACGGACACACAGGACAGAAATACAACTCACATCACTGCGTCTGGATTTCCTGCCATATATATTGTGCTCATAAGATGAGTCGAATAGCTCTATTTGGAAAGAAGCATGCGAGGAAGATTGAGGTGATCTTGTAGAGGTGTGCAAAAAATAAACAAATAAGAAAAAATAATGTGTAAAAAATTATATATATATTTGTTGGGGTGGAAAAAATAAATGATTTGTTGGGGAGTACAAAAAATAAATGAGTAATAAAAAAAAATATTGTTGGTGAATAAACAAAAAAAATATTTGTAGGAGAGTGCCAAAAAAAAACAAAGAAAAAAGAAAAAATTATGTGCAAATTTTTTTTTTTAATTATTTGTTGGTGTAAAAAATATAATAACAGAAAAAAAAAATATTTGTAGGAGATTGCAAAAAAAACTAATAAAAAAGAAAAAATGATGTGCAAAAAATAATATATATATATATATAATTTTTTTTTTGGGGTGGAAAAAAATGTATTATTTGTTGTGGGAGCTAAAAATAAACAAAAAAAATTATTTATTTTGGGTGCAAAAAAAGATTTGTAAGGGAGTGCAAAAAAATTTATAAAATAAATTAATCTTAAAAGAACATTAAAACCTTAATATAGGTTTATAAAATATATTAAAACCTTAAAAAGTCAACATGAAATCAAAACAGACTATTTTTTAAATCAATATTCCCGTTCTAACTGCAAGTGCTTCGTCATCACTGGTGTTAAACTAAAGAAAAGTAGTTTTTTCTCATTATGTGTTGCTTTGCTCAGAAATGCGTCACATGACGAGAGTTTAAATGGGCTGCAAATGAAGGACTGTTTTTTGTAATTATGATGATATATACGGTGGCCGAGAAGTGCAAAACAAATCACAATTCTGAAAACAAAATAACAAATTACAAACGCAAATGCAAGTCTAAAAAACAAAATAACAATTCAGAATTGTGATTTGTTTTGCACTTCTCGGCCACCGTAGATATATGATACTCGTATGCTGAAATACTTAATTCCAGCTTTAACGGCTCTTATGGCGTCGTTAGTTGTTGGGTAACGAGTTCTGAGTCGCTCACCTTCTTGGGCGTGCCGTAGCAGGACATCTGAACCCAGTTCTTCCTGCAGTTCACCAGGATGGCCACCAGGAGGAAGATGAACACAGCCAGCAGGATTCCCGCCAGAATCCAGGCCGCTGATTGGTAGATGAGCGTCATCTGCATCTGGCTCGGGACGTCCCGCGAGAGACCTTCTCCATCTAGACCAGAGAACACTGACATCACAAACCATCGATCCTGTAATATGGCAGTATTTGCAGCACTGTATTCCTCGTCCAATCAGATCAGATCTTCCTCACGCTGCTGCTGTTTTCATTGGCTACTGCGTCTCGTATTGTTCTCAGATCAGCGAGACGAACGCAAGCCAACACTTAGTAAAAATTAATCATAAAATCCTGAAAAATCCTAAAATAAAGAAATAATAATGAAAAAAAACCACTTACTAAAATGTATCATAAAATTGTAAAATATTGTAAAATAAAATAATAAAAATAAATAAATAAAAAACACTTACTAATTTTTCTTACTAACTTACTACATTTTCAAAATTAATCACAAAAAATTTAAAATTAAATAAATAATACCAAAAATAAAATACAGTATTAAAAATGTAAGTATAAAAATGTTAAATTACAATATTTAAAAATGTTAAACAAAACATATTATTAAAATGAAAACAATACCATAAGTTAATAAATAAATAAATGTGAAATAAAAATTTTCAAATAACAAATATAAAACACTAAACATCAATCATAAAAATGTAAAACGAAAATAAATGCATGAACAACTAAAATAAATAAATCATTAAAATGTAAAACTAAAATAGTTTTAAAACAAAAATAAAATGCTTACTAAAAATTCTAAAAATGTAAGTATAAAAATGTTAAATTACAATATTTAAAAATGTAAATGTTTAATAATATGTTAAACAAAACATATTATTAAAATGAAAACAATACCATAAGTTAATAAATAAATAAATGTGAAATAAAAATTTTCAAATAACAAATATAAAACACTAAACATCAATCATAAAAATGTAAAACGAAAATAAATGCATAAACAACTAAAATAAATAAATCAAAATAAAACACTAAAATCGTGAAAAATGTACAATTAAACAAAATAACATGAAAAAAAAGCAAAATTGAGAATTATTTATTCTGATTAACAAAAATGAAACGCTTACTAAACATTAATCATTCAAATGTAAAACTAAAATAGTTTTAAAACAAAAATAAAATGCTTACTAAAAATTAAAACGGATTAAAATTAAACCAAAAAAAAAAAGTTACGTTACTGAAAAAAATGATAATAAAAATCAAGCATTAAAATAAATAAACTAAATTTGCAGCACTGTATTCCCTCATCTGATCAGCTGGCATCTTCCTCGCACTGTTCTGATTGGCTGCTGCGTCTCGTATTGTTGTGATGGTGTCTGTATTTACGTGTGACGCTGCGGCGCGGAGGAGCGGCGGTGGTCCAGGCCTCGGTGACGGCCGTCGACAGCATTAGCGGCGCTGACGAGCTCGTTATCTCTGCAAACACACCGCACGATCGACATCATCATCATTCAGCTCATTTCTTACGGACAAAAACACAAATAGCGCAGGAAAGTTCGAATGCCACGGGAGCTGATTTACAAACATCAGGCCGCATGTATTCTAATGCAGGGATTCCCAAACTGGGGTTTGTTAACAACAAAAATTTATTAAATCATAAAAAAAAATTAACTTACAAAAATTTCACAAATGACCAAAAAAATTATAAAAATAAAATAGCTAAAAAACAAAAACAAGAATAAAGTATTTAATCATTAATTTGATTTTAATTAGTTAAATATTACATATTTTTTAAATCCTAGCAATCAAAACAAAACGTTAGAAATTGAAACAAAATATAACGTAATAAAAAATATAATAAACAGAATAAAAACATAGAAGTAAAATGAAAAAGTTTAATTATAAAAATACGTAAAATTTAAATAATTTTAAATAAAAACAAATAAATTACAAATGTAAAATACAAATAATAAAAATAAAACACTTACTAAAATGAATCACAAAAATATAAAACTAAAATAAATACATTTAAAATAAAAGCAATTAGGACAAAACACTAAAAATGTAATAATGAAAATGTAAAATGAAATAAATAATACTAAAAATATAACACACACATATATATATATATATATAACATTTTTTAAAATAAATAATTACAAAAATAAAAACAATAACAAAATATATCAGTTAATAAAAATAAATGTAAAATTAAAACAAGTACCATTTTTAAATGAAAAAAATAAAACATTAATTAATAAATAATAATAATAATGTCAAACTTAAATTCAATCAAATTATAACATTTACTAAAAATAATTTAAATAATAAAAATGTTTAAAAACGCTTACTAAAAATTTAATTCTAAAACAAAATTAATAATTATTTATCCCGATTATTAAATGTAGCATCTTATACTGCGCTTGCCGAGACTGTGTAATAGTAATTATACTCTGATCAGATGCTCATCAGTCTGCGCAGACACACGTACCCAGCATGCATTGCGGGCAGCACTGGCCCTTGCGCAGCACGGGGACCCTGCAGTCGGCGAGTGGACACTGCTGTGAGAAGCAGCGGACGTTCCCGTCGCGGCAGACGCAGCTGCTGCAGGCGTTGGGTTTCCACGAGTCGCCGCTGCGCAGGATTTCTCCAGCGCTGGAGACGCAGAGCTCCTGAAGACTGCTGTTCACGGGACGCGGCGGCTCCAGATCGTCTTCAGGGAGCAAACACACAAACATGAACACATAATAACTAGTGCGGTCAAAATTTGCACGTTAATGCATGCGATTCATTTTTTCAGTTTAACGCGTTAAAAATATTTAACGCAGGGTCGGCCCATGCCTGTCAACATTTGGGTACCAAAATACGGGACGGGGGGGCGGAGTCAAAAGTAACAATTTTTATATTACATTTATATTAATTTAAACAATTATTATCAAACAATTCTATTTATTTAGTAACATAAATATATCTTAGTGTAGGCTATATCTTTAGAGTTTTATAATTCATTATCTTCTTGTCGATCCACCAGTTCACATTTACAACTTTGGTCTAAATGCAAATTCATTCTCTGCCAGCAGGTGGTGCTTTTCGCCAGGAATATAGCCGTTTCCCCGGTAACCGCAGTAAACCAAGCAGCAAGCACCTGACTTTGAAACTTGCAGCGCTCATATTTAACCAATTATACCAAGGCCTTTTGAAGTGTAAGCTATATCTCAATTCACATGTATATTTGGTTTTTTCACTGGAGCGCCACCTGAGTCTTCTCCTCCCATTTCTACCAGCGATCACTGTTTTCTTCACTGGGCTGTAGGTTGCCAAGTTGAGGGGACAAATGGGTTGAAATTTGTATGCGTCGATCATGTGAGAAAGATGCGTTACATACAAGATCTGGCAACTGCACTGTAAAATCCAATAGTTTACCTTACTTAGATTTAGTTAGTTATCTTTACTTAGTTGTTATACTTACTAGGTTTTATTAAGTTACAGCTACTTTCAAGGCAACTAAAACAATTTACTTACTGTTTTGAGTGACACTTACTTAAAATATTCAAGTAGCCACAAAGGAGTGTGTGTGTGTGAGTGTGTGTGTGTGTGTGTGTGAGAGTGTGTGTACCTGTACAGGTGTAGCAGCAGCTGTCTCTGCTCCGGACAGGTGTGTGACACAGAAGCGGAGGACAGGATTCAGAGTCACACAGCACTCTTCCCTGTCGACAAGTACAGCTGCTGCACTCGTCCAGACGCCACGTCTCTCCCTCCACATACAGCTCTCCGGCCGGAGCGCGACACACCACCAGATCCAGACCCTCTGGCTGCCCGCTGCCCGACTCGTCTGACACACACACACACACACACACACACACCTAGTGAGCATTTCATCCTGAGACTGAGGTGTACTGGTCAGTTTGTGATCCGTATCATCTACTAAAATTAAGCTGCTTCCACACCCTCCAAAAATATCGCAGTGGATAGAAAAACTTGAATCTATTTATAGAATGGAATATATGACACTCCAACTGAAACTGGACATTTTTATACAAAGGTGGAGACCTGTTACTATGTATTTGGACACATTGAAAATGAACGGCTCAGTAAGGAACCTTGATTTATTCCGTTGTATTATTTGACAATGCTGTATGTGTTTTCTTCCTCCTCTTCTTATTTATTTGTATCATTTTTTTCCTTTAAGTCACTGCTGCTGTCAAGGAATGTTTAGTTCATTGTTTGTAATTTGCTTTAATGTATACACATTTTATTTGTGGATTTAACATTAATAGATGGTCAAAAGCAAAAGAGCTGTAAACGTTCTAAAAATATTTTAGAGGTCCTTATATGTACATTTTTATAATCCATTGAAAAAATATATTACATTTTACGCAGTACATCTGTTTAAATTACATAATTTACAAGTGTCATGCTTGTTATTTTATTCATGTAAGCTATAGCTTCTGACCTTTAAATCAAAACAGGATTCTTTTATTCAGAAACAGAAGTATCTTAATGTTATTTGTGTATTTTACTTTCATTTTATTACAAGTAGGCCAACAGCACCCTCTAAGTAAATAAACCTTATCAGCAAGGCATATCGGCATATTGTTTTTCAGATGTTCACATTTTAAGCCTTTATCGGCCGATTCCGATAACGTACCGATAATATCATGCATCCATAGTAATCCAGCGTTTTTGAAAAAAAGTTGCCAGTCACCACCAGCGATTTTGATGGTTTTCACTCAAATTTCATGGCCTCCAGTATATTTTGCTGTATGAATATTTGAATACGCAATACACCAAAATAAAGATCAGAGCCTCTACTTTTAAACAGTTTTATTCTAGCTTAAAGCATTCCTTTTTTATCAACACTTCAATATAGGTAGGTTTCATAAAAAATGAATTCAGTTCAGCAGATTCAGTATTCCTCAAAATGAATAAAAATAACGCAACTCAGAATATGACGCAAACCTGCAAAAATGAAATGTTAAACAACACAAATATGCTTTATGTATTTAATCCCATTCTATTAGCTTCTGAGCTTCGATATTAATAAGATAACCGTACTAATAAGCACAAATTAGTCTTTTATTATTGCTGAAGTGTGTTGAAATTTCTTCTTCTGCGTTCTACTGTACGGTCATAAAATGTACTTTCTCTTCAGCCTGAGGCAGGGCTGCACGATTATGACAAAAATCATAATTGTCGATTATTCCCTTGAAATTGTAATTGCGATTGTTAATTACGATTATCACAATTTACATTGAACGATGTTTATACCATTGTTTGATGCAACTGCATGCCGTATTTTTACATGAAAATAAACGAGCTGAAAACACTC